CGAAGGTTCGGACGAAGTGTCGGATGAACCAATGACATGTTGAACAACTTAGTATTCTTACTTGTAATAATTTGTCTAGATCGAAGTAGTTTAGAGGGATAATTGAGTTGGTTTCGGGTGTAACCATACCAACTCAATTAGGGACTAATTAGGCCCGAATTGGAGTTGTTTTAGGCCAATAAAAAGGCTCATTCAGTGACCCAAAAGTTGAGTCAGGAGGTATCACCGCTAGAGGCTCAGTCTCCAAGATACAATATCTGCGACTATGTCAGGTAGTAGTACTGCCCAGTGTTAGGCAGTGGTACCACCCAAACACAGTCTCCCAAATTGTGTCAAGTGGTGGTACCGTTAGATTGGGTAGTGGTACCACCTAGTGTCTGTGCTGTAGGCGGTAGTACTGCCTTGTGTTAGTGCTATAGGCGGTGGTACCGCCAAAACCCGGGAAACCTAGAATGAGACTTTTTGTTACTCCATTTTTATGTTGAATCTCGTATTTTGATGATGAAATCAATTGATAAGTGTTTATGATTTGATCTGCGTTTCGAGTGACGCAGGATACTTCTATCAGGGAGAGACAATTAAAGTAGGAAGACTCATATTGGGCTAGAGGAAAACAATGTCAGAAGATTAGACGTCGAGTTGGAGGATCAGTCGACGTATCGATAGACGGCTTTGGGCCATGGATTTGGGCATCGAGCCAAGAAGAGCAGATATTGCGCCAAGGATATCAAAGTTGCAGAGGTCAACTGGCCGATTGGACAATAGGCCGTAAGAAAGAATGATGTGCCGAAGAATCAGATGAAGCGTCGATAGACCAATGACATGCCGGACAACATGATTCGTACTTAGTAATAATTGTCTAGATTGAAGTGTGTTTTATACGTGTAGGATTAACTATGATAGCAAGGCATAAAGCAAAATGAACTCTTGGAGTCAAGAACGTGATTTTGTTGAGAGTTTGAGAGTTTGTCAGAAGTCCAGACGTTCTGTCACGGGCTTAGCTGGTTTTGCCTAAGTCGTGCGGCACCCTCGCATGACCGTTCGCAAAGGTCAGCCTCCCCGAAGCCTCGCATGGTCCCTTAGGACCCACAAAAGAGAGAATGGCCTAGAGAAAATGCTTCATTCAGGATCCATAAGCAAACATCTCCGAAAATACTTCATGGACAATGCAAATTATAAACAGACTTTATAAGCTCTAAACAGTTGTACAACAAAGGGTTAAATGGTCCATTACAGATTGAAAATCTCTCACAAGTGTCCACATGACACAACCTTTATTTACAAGCCTCAAGCGGCTACCAACCCTACTAAAATAGGACTATTAAGCCTTTGGTCGTCCCTCTACATGTTGTGCAAAGCATGAACATACCAAAAGACACATATATACTTAAGCATTACATCAAACATCCTGTTTAGAAGTTTGTCCGTGACAGTTCATCGGAAGTTCTGTCGGAACCAACCGAAAAGTCCAGGAGCTTGCCAAAGAGGCTTGTCGGAACTCGCCAAGAAGATCGTCGTGAAGTCTAGGAGCTTGTCGGGAGTCTACTGGAACATTGCCGAGAGATGGTCCGAAGTTCGTTGGAAGCTAACCGGTAGAAACCGGACTTATTTAGCTTATTGTATATTTTAAATTTCATAGTTAGCACATAATTGGAGTTGAGATTGGGAGGTAATCTCATCAACTCTGTTAAGGGCCAACTGGGCCTGAAGTTAGGCTGGTTTGGGCCGGATTCAAGGCCCAACCAGGATGCTGAAAGCCTAGCTGGCGATGGCACCGCTTGGGAAACAGCAACCCAGGAATTCTGGGCGATGGTACCGCCTAGTGGCAGGGTGCTAGGCAGTGGCACTGTCCTTGTCAGGCAGTGGCACTGTCCTTGTCAGGCAGTGGTACTGCCCAGTGCAGTGTTAGTGTCAAACTAACACTAGCGATGGTACTGTCTAGCATAGGCGGTGGTACCGCCTGTACCCAGAAAACCCAAGATGGGATATTTTTGGGCTCCAAGTTTGAATCAGCTTGAGGCCTATAAATACTCCTCTCATCCCTGGTTAAAAAACACAAGAATTGAGAGTAAGAAAGAAAGAAACATTGCTGCAATCTTGTGTGAACTCCTCTCAAAGTTCTAAGTGTTAGAATAGTTTGAGAGAGGAGTAAATGGGAGTATAAGGGTTATCTTCTAAACCCGGTAAAAGAAGAAAGAGCTGTAAAAGGTGGTTGGTCTTCACCTATTGAAGGAAGACCGATAGTGGATGCCGGTGGCCTCGACGGAAGAGGAATCGGTGGAGTGGATGTAGGTCACGACGACCGAACCACTATAAAAATCTGATTTGCGTTTTGTCTTGAGCAATTTACTTTAACTGCAAACCACTTTACTTGTTTATTGCTTTCAATACATTTACGAACGTGTTTCAAGTTAAGATCTTTACGAGACGGTTTTCGTCAGAATCGGTTTTAATCGAAATGAAACGATTTGAATACGTGATTTTACCACTGCACTAATTCACACCCCCACCCCCAACACACCCCCCCCTCCCCCACCCCCCCCCCCTCTCTTAGCGTCGAATAGTTCGTAATATTTTGAAGTCATTTGGAGTCTATAAATACCCCAATTATTCCTACTTGACATAGCATGAATTAAAGCAAAAAGGGATTGTTATTCTAGGTTATAAAATTGCTAAGTATCCTCCTCCTCCCTTTGATCATTCAAGAGAGGTGTGAGGCTTGTAAAGGGTTGTCTCCTAAACCCGTGAAAAGGAAAAAGAGTTGTAATAGGGTAGTTAGTCTTCGCCCATTGAAGGAAGACCCGTAGTGGAAACCGATGGCCTCGAGTGAAGAGAAATCGGAAGTGGATGTAGGTCACGACGACCGAACCACTATAAAACTCGATTTGTATTTACTTTAAGCTCTTTACTTTCATTGCAAATTGCTTTACTTTACTTTCACTATGCTTACAAACAACGTGCACTCTAAGTCAAGCTCATTTCCGATATCGGCTTTTATCGAACAAGATTTTTACATCGACATAAACTTTTACGATAGCACTAATTCACCCCCTCTCTTAGTACTGACTTGATCCTAATAATTTATACTAAGTTTTGAGTTTATTTGCCTTATTTATAATGTTTTTGTGGGTTTTTTTTAGGTACTAAAAATACTATAAGCTTCTTAGAAAAAACTGACTATAAGTTAGTTTCTATTGTGTTATTCATGTTCATAAACCAATAAGAATAATTACTTGCAATTCTATTTTTGTATATAGGTTGGTTTCTATTGTGTTTTGAGTCAATATATTTTAATCATAGACCTTTGATGTTTTGATGAAGATATCAAAAATGTCATAAACCTGTTCAAAATACATTGTAAATCTTTTACATTGAAGATTGAATTGGCTCGATCAATCCATAAAATATGTTGGGTCATGTCGACGATATTATGGAGATTATGAAAAGGTAGGGAGCCAAATTTTGAAAAAGGAGACATCCCGGAAAATGTTTGAAAAATATTATTTTTTGGAAATTCACCCCTTCTAAAAACACAATTACTTTTTCAAAACTAAGAAACTCTATTAATTAGAGAAATATACTCAAACTACTTCAGTGTCCTCTTAATTCAATCCTTAATTTATAATAATAAAATTAAATTAAAAATAGGATCCAGCGAATCAATCACAACGTCTACATATTCATAAGTCATAGTGAAAGCATACGTTTCTATAGTGTTTTAATTTCCCTGCTCATGCAATATAAAGATACCATTTCTATTTATTCATGTCATATGTTACACCAGTGGCCATCATGGAAGAAGGATGTCTCAATGTCCTCCTGTCCATTGTCAATCTTCGTGTGTGCGTGTGTGAGAGAGAGATTTGATAGATTGCGTTGATATTAATCTGTCAGATGCACGCAATCTGCTCACAGTGCTTCCTTCGTCCTTGTACGTGACTACATGCATGCACAGCAGAAAACAGCGTACGATCCCCCCATCTGCCATCTTTCTCCCTGTCATCTGAGCGCTGCCTTCTCTTGTCCCTCTACTCTCATCAACACCGCACCAAATCAAGTACTGCAGATTTTGAATGGTGGCTTTCCATACGCATCTTTCCCCTTCCCCACCTCCCACAGAGCGAAGGCCTGTTCATTTTTAGCATGCCTTCCGTTTCCCGCGTCCCATTTCTCTTCTTCTGACCGCAGCAGGCGAGAACCAGATCACAAGCACAACATGCCCAATGAGCATGAAAAGCAAAGAGAGGAAACCACATCACGTGAAGTGGGAGTACTTCAGAAGCTGGATTGGACGCATTGAAGACGGAAGACAAGACCGAGTGATGAACCAAGACTCTCTCCACCTTCCGATCCCTGGTTTTGCGGCTAGTCAAATGGTCATCCTTGAGAGCAGTGTTCTCCACTGTGGATCTGCAGAGCTTTAGATAGATATTTTGAGGTTTTCGAGTTAGTGAGCTTGGTCTGGGCCACAGGAATTCAGTAAGATCAACCCTGCCCAAGCCCCAGAGTGAGTGAAGTCTGCTGTTGATACAACTGTTGCAGCACATAGAATCCAGTACATGTGTGTCAATCACATGAGAAGTGCACAAACTTGTACGTACTAATGATCACAAGTGACTTCAGTGAATGGAGGAGACAAAAGCATGCCAATCTTACGACTCAACATGGCATAGCATAGAGAAGAATGTAGCAGTATCGGAGGAGAGAGAGAGAGAGTCATTATCCCGTTTCTAACCTTTCTTTCTTCATGCTCCGTCGAATATGCATCCATCCATGCATGGGGTAAGAGAGAGTGAAGGTGGAGAAAGGGCAGTGCACGCCATATGACACAAACCATGGAAACAACAGCACGAGGCTCCTAAGTACTGATCAATTAGCAAAGCTTCCTAAGCAACAGCAAATTTGATTCTTTCATGTACCAAATTCTGCTCCATCGGGCCTCCAAGGGAGTGATCTCCTCTTCCTCCGGGTCTTGAGATGCTTTGAAGCTTCCCCGACCGATGCCGGGAAGGAACATGGAAGAGGTATGGAAAGACATCAGCCTCAGCACTCTCCACCAAGACGTGCCTTCAACTCCCGTCCTCGCCTTCCACCCCGCCACCACCATCTCCTCCTTTCGAGCCGTCATGCTGCAGGACTTCATCGCCGATGCCTTCAAAGCAGAAAATCGAGCTCCTCCTCCGAGCACCCACAGTCCTCCTGCTTCGCTCAGTCCCACCTCTGACAACTCCCGGCAGTTCTTTGGCTATGATCTCAACGCCAGTGCCAGTGCCAGTGGCAGTAACGCAGCACAGTCTGAGTCAACGAAGAAGCGGTCGCCGGAGAAGCGGCCGAACCGGAGCGTTGACAGACAAAGCGGCGTCGAGCAAAGGAAGAAGCGGATGATCAAGAATCGAGAGTCGGCGGCTCGATCTAGGGCCAGGAAACAGGTGCCATCCCCTCTCCTTCTTCTCAAACGGGTCCAAGTACTCTAATATTGAGCGCCTTCTACGAGACAGGCCTACAGGAACGAGCTAGAGCTAGAAGCCGCACGTCTGCTGAATGAGAACGAGATGCTGAAGCGAGAGTCCGAACAGGTAATCTTTACCACTATCAAACAAAACGATCCTATGCTTTCTTACAAGATTCTTCAACCTTTGCGGCAGCTGCGCATGACAGTGGCTGCTCAGAACCCCACGGCTTCCAAGCCTACGCTGCAGAGAACCTTAACAGCTCCGTTTTGAGTGAGAGAACTGATAGAGAGAAGTTTCCTTTCACCAGCAAATCCTACACTTCCATTGTCCACAGTAAGCTCAAGTGTTCCAGATTTGTGATCGCCTACATATAGCAGAGTCGTCCAACAAAGAACAGACCAGTTTTAGGTACGCGTGTGTACATGTATACGTCTGCAGTGTTTGCCTTCTTCCAACATGTATAATTCTCGCGATGCTGTTTGGTTTGTGCTTGTGTTGATATGGCAAATTCCTAGAACAAAAGTACAGCATTTTAGTTGCATAATGGTCTATGTTCTTTACGTTTGCCGGTGCTTGCACTCTGTGTTTATTAACCTTGCATTATTGTATTTCTAGCCGTTGTTCTTGTATTTATTCATTAAATATTTTCTTTTTTTATTTTTTTGGATTAGATTGACTTGGACAGGTTTTAATGATGTTGTATAAGATGGTAAAAATTAGGTGTTTGATGGCTTTATATGATATCTTTTCTCTTGTCATCGTTCTTTCCGACCGAACGGTTGTTTTTTTTATCTATTTGTAAAATTTTATATATTTTTATGTTTCGAATATGAGACATAATTATATTTTAAAAATATTAAACATACATCCATGGGATCAACTAATGATTGAATGACTTAGATTCGACCTAATCGATGTTTGATTCTGATTCTGATAAATATGATTTATCGTCTTTTCAAGTTATTTGAAGTTTGAATGCATATGTAATTATTTAGGTAGTCTGCTCGTTACCATTCTCGATCAATGTAGGAGGTGGAGTTCCTCAGCATGCACACACCTACACGATCGGTTTTAACTGGTTGGAGTATTTATTTTTTGGATTGAAATGGTTACATTAAAGGGTACATCATCCCTTGTCATCATTTTTATTCTAATAAGTCAAATCTACATCAATGCATGGTGTCCGTATGTATACCGTCCAACAGCAATAGTATCAAGAACAACAACAAGAATTAACAACGCCAACCACAACAATAAATGATTAACATCACTATCATAATTATCATTATCATTATCCCTATCAACAATAGCAAGAATAATAGCATCATCTTTATCATCATTATTATCAACAAAAGCACCATCATCAAAAGCACCATCATCCAAAAAACAAAAAATAAAAGAACAGATCATGGTCAGTGAAGTGGAAGCTACCTCACCTGTGCATAATAGTTGTCAGGGGAGAGAGAGGACTACCTGGCTGGGATGAGAGAGAGTTGATGGCGCATATACAGAGATCATTTGTTGAAGGGGGTGAACGGTGAAATAAAAGTTTTACAGCCATGGGTGGAAGTTGAAGAAGAAGAAGAAGAACTCAGAGGTTTTGGCATTTACTTGCAGTTCAAAAATCAGGTGTACTTTATTCGCAATGGTCAAAAAAAGACTAATACTTTATTTGAAGCAAAGAGTCTCCATAGCATCATCATCCATCTCAGGTGTCAAAAAGAAGGGGAAAACATATTAAAATTAAGTTATGATCTAAAATTAACAATCAGGGAGATGAGGCTCATTTAACAAGAAAAAGTCTAATGAAATAAGACCAACAGCTTATGGTTCAAAAGAACAAAAAATTCAAGCAGCGGTAAGCAGCATGACAGAAGATAAAATGGCCTCTGGTAATCAAGCAAGAGTAGTAGCTATATGGTCAATAGAAAAGTAGAATTAGCAAATAAACCATATCATCCTGAACAAAATGATAAGGAAAGAACCAGGGAAAACTTGAGGATCAAGCCAAGCATTCCAGTTGTGACACCCAGATTCTGGTGATTTTGAAGAAAAATCCTCAAAGCAAGCAACTATTGCAAACTTAAAAAGCCATTTAAGTGAACAAATTGAAATACAATAAACTCAGTATACCATCTTAGTGCAATGAAAATAAATCCAAACAACAGTCCCTAACATTAATGTGAACAAGTCATCTGAAGAAGGAACATGCTTTGCCAGGTCAAGTGCAGATCACCAAAGTCAAAAGGAGAAACAAACCATTTGACGCACTGATAATGCTGCTGCATTTGTTGGTTGTGTGCTGGTACCAAATTCCCTGAATTTGAACGAGTCGCTCGAATAAATCGTTGGCTACCACCTTTTGCACGCTAGATTATCACAATATGGAGCAACCTTTCTGTTGCTTTTTTTTCTTCTTCTGCTTGGGTGGCTGAAGCACGACCTTGATGGCCGCATCAAATACCGCCTTGACATTCTACATCACATCATTTTACATCGTGGCAGGAATCCATCAGAAAAATGGAAATGGATTAAAAACGATCAAGAGGAAAAATTAGGGGAACACACTTGCTGAGTCTTTGAACTGCACTCTATGTACGAAGCAGCACCTATTTGCTTCCGCAGCTCCTCCCCCTAGAACATTGTGAGAGCCACTTATTATTGTAAGAAATTCTGATTGAAAAACCACAAATAAGATGCATATTGACATAGGAACATGGTTAAGCTTTCTAACATGTCAACAAATTTACCTGAGCGGTACTTATGGGAACAGCACCTGGGTGATCTATAAAGAACTGCTGCTCATCCCGAAGATCTGCAAACAAATCCATTGCAGTTATTGTCACATGAGAAAACTACGAAGCCATTAGACGGGCTGCAATGTAGCATTGTTAAACATAAAAAGTTATATACAATTAATTCCATAGAAGAAAGACAATGAATAAGCTTGAAGCAAAATATGTGAGACAACAATGTTGTAGAAAATATGTGCTCTATTGGAATTCCATCACCCAAATATTAGCTCTTTTGCACGAAGATCAACACTTGGCACTCTGAAGATGGAAATCATCATATATGTGACAACAAGAAACTAGTGTAGCATCCTTGTCCACATTAATATCTCCCCTGTGCTTTCATTGTCAGCAATTAAAAACAATAAAACATTCATTAAACCAGAGTTAAGAAAAAGAAGGGAACTTGTGCACACATAAGGAAGATTCCCTTGAATATGCTACATATTGCACAATATATATTAACCGAGAAAAAATGTGAGCATAACTCTTCTAAGTGTTACCAATTGCATCCATTTAGTGTGAATATCATGCGCCATCATCTTAGTGTCAAAACGTTCCTCAAAATAATCAAAAACTTTAGTGAGATACGTAAATCAAACGACTCCGCTTCTGTGAACTGTGTATGAGAATTTCACGTCAAACTGTACATAGATGGACTGATGAAAATTACAGAAATAATTGACAAGGGATCTTTTCTATGTAGTTCAATCAATCAAGCATTCCAGTCTGCAGAGTTATCCTTAGATAAACTGTTGAAAATCCTTTGGCTAGCCAAAGGATTTTCAAGGCAACTTAACCAAAATGCATGATATTCATTTTTCCATTTGATGTTCACTGCCTCATTACCAAATATCGTAAAAACGATTCTGCTTCATTCTAAACACGATCATCATCAAAGACCTGACATGCTCAAATATCATGTAGACATTATTTTGCTCAGATAGAACATATCTTATCATCAGTAACATAGCCAACCAATAAAGTGTCAACTATTTCAAAAAAAATGGAGAGAAAACACAGCTTTGACTCATCTATTGTTATAGATCTCTAACATTCGCCCAGGCTCCTTTGTTTGTTCAGTGAAGAGCCATCATAATTCTTTATTAGTATCCCTTGCTAACTGCTTTCCTCTATGACATTGTGATGTTTGATTCTAAACCAAAGATTACATTCCATATGAACACTATAATTTGGTTATACGAACTTCATGCAAGTAATTTCAGAAGCATCCTTCACAACCAACTTCATAAAGAAAGCTTCCTAAAGAGGGACAATATACACCAATTCTTTACCTGACATTTAACTTGTTTGGGAAGCATATGGAGGGAAGGAAAAATCTAAACCTTAGACAACCTAAGGCTAATAAAATATTCAACTTTTCACCAAGTTCTGCAAACCTTAGTCTTATAATAACGAAAAAGATCAAGAACATAGAGGGCAATGAGAAAACAAAAAAATAGATCCAATAGGAAATGACGCTACAAGAGGGAAGAACTAAGTTCTTTTGATAAGATAAATGAAAAAAAGAGACAAAACTAGAAAAAACAAACAGATAGTAAAAAGTTATATAGATAAGCATGTGTTTCATTGCATGGAAACTTCAATGGGAAACTATTATACCACAAAACCTTCTTTTCCAATGTTTGACCAAAAAAATCTGGAAACAAGAATTCAGATTTATAAAAATAGCCTTTTGTTTCACTCATTTTCTCTAGAGATTGAAAAGGTTTCTCCCAGGACCCCCCCTGCTTATGTCTTTCCAACGGTTCTTTCTAACACAAAATAACTTCTTTTCCTGATAAGGACGATCTCAACACCATTCAACCAATTTGGCCGACCCCTATACAAGGGCACCTTGAAGACTCAAAGCCCTGGTTGGCCAAGCAAAGCCCAAGTCTCCGCAGCCCACTTAACTCAATCCAAGTCCTAATATGACTCGGATTAGGAAAGCCCACACCCAAATAGAAGCAACCACCAAGTAAAGGGGGTGTGGCAACCCTACAAGGAAAGTCCTAGTTATGCACACTTTACAAGGAAAGTCCTTGAACTCTAAGGACTCGGGTCATCCCTTACCCTATAAAACAAGGGATGTACCCCAATCTAAAGGCAATCAAACAAAGTCCCATCAAGAGCCCAACCAGCCCTAGCTATTCTAACCTCAAAAGAAAGAAGAAAGGAGAAGAGAAAAGAGAGAAGAGAGAAGGGAGGAACTCTGCAAGGTGCAACCAGTCCTTCCGGCCGTAGCCTTCTTCCATGAGTTCTAACAGACGAAGCTTTACACCAAGCTCCACCCAGGTGCAGTGAGAAGCACCCAACGCCTGATGCTTGTTGTCCAAACCTCAGGAGGTGCTTCCAACAACGAGAGAGGAGGAGACTGAAACCGGCAACGACAAACAATTTGCCAAGAGCACTCAAGTGTTGTCCAAAGACAATCTGCATTCTATGCACCTATTAATCTCCTTATGTGCTTTTAATTCTATTGCCTCAAGTCTTGTAGTTAGCACTTTAGCTTTATAAGCAATAGAAGTTGATCTTTTTTCGATTTTATGCTTGAGCTTCTAGCAGTAGTTCTCTCCTCTGCCAAAAGTTACATCCGAAAGATGATATCGAGTCGACGGATCGTTGAACTGAACCCCATATAGATCAAGTGATATCATAGCAATGAACTTGTGGATGGTGACCATGAGACACGAATATGAAAGATTAAACCAAAAACTACAAGAGTTGGAGTTCACGATATACTCACCCGGAGGAAGAAACACCAACGGGATGGTGGCCAACAACCCAATAGCCTTGGTTGACCTTACTGCCCAGATGGCAATATTAGCCCAGTAGAAAGAGAGGGTCAAGCCAAACCAACCCTATAGCGAAAGATGACCAAGCAAAGAATGTCACTACAAAGGAGAGAGAGTCGTCTCCATCAAAGATGTGCAATCAGGAAGAAGATATTGTCAAACAAAATATCGCAGCA